ATTTCCACATTTATTTTGATGGTGCGCGTACGTTTTTCACATTTTCATGTTTTGCATCTATCCCTCAACTACCTGTAAATATTTTGTGGGTAGAAAATACTATCTGCTAGTTTGATTGAACACACACTTTTCTGGTTAGGCTCTGCCATTACTTCGATCATCATGCACTACCTGTTCTAAAAATGTTTTATTTCTGTCAACGTGAATACCCTAATAACCTTGTGATAGAAAAATATATATTATATGGTTACTGAGGTACTCAAGTTGAAAGAAATGACATATTTTAGAATTATAATTTATCCATTGATTCTGATACGTATAGGAGCTATGTATTTAAACGATTCTTAAGGTTTTTGCAATTGTACAGTAATATTATATTTATCCTGGTGGCTAGTTCTTGGTCAGTATGCTCAGTTTCCACTACGTGGCCCCGGATTCGATTCTCGGTCAGGCAAGATTATAGTTTTTCCTGCAATGTCCCAGTATATGCTGCTGTGTGACGAAAAATTCACTTCTCAGTTTGAGAAAACCGGAATACTGCGAGGGGATATCTATGTGATAACCACACGTACCCCTTTAACACATGGGCGCGAGGTAGGGACGTTGCCGGTAGGCCTCAGCCCGTTCACAGGCTGCCGCGCAAGTACATATATTTATTTTATTTTAAACGGAACAACAGGTGAGATATAAGCTGTAACATAAATCTTTCAATAATTCATATTTAAAGACTAATTTTTTATGAAACTGATATGAATCCTAAATTCAATATTTTGCTCTAAATAAGGCTGTTTTGTGATTATTTTTTTCACAGAAATATTTTTTTTTAGAATTTATTTCCTTGAAACACTTTCGTCCTTTTCTTTCTTATCTCCACCACTATTTACATTTTTGTCTTCGGCTATATCTTCCATTGCAGTATGGGAATATTTTTATTATAATATTAATATTAAAATGTCTAATATTTATTTTCACTATTTATTTCATTTTTTAGTTGAGCAGTTTAAATTAATTCAAGACTCCACGCAAAAGACGTTGCGTTGCAGCTAGTAGTTATTGAAGGCGTAAGGTCTAGTAATAATATAAAGTTGGTGAATCGAATCCATCGTCGAGTATTTTAACCAATCAAGTCTGTTATTTACGATATCGGCCATGATATTCAATACTGTTCATTATATTGACATGGTTTTTACTTTTCCATTAATAAATTTACTTAATGGAGAAAAAAATTTAATTATTTGTTTAGGGTCAATGATTTTATGGCTTTCACCATAGATTTGAATGTGGTAGCTTACTGATGCATTAAATCAAAATGCTTACACTTTCAAAATAAAAGAGAACATTTATTTGTAATAATAACAAACTTTCCACAATGTTGTTTGCAAACTGAAATGAACTAATACATTTAATTAATTTAACAATTTTCAAGTAAGAGTCTAGGTGTACCTTCTTCAACTTTCAAATATTCAAAAGTGATTTTTTTATGTCCAATTCTATAGTTCACTTCATAACTCTCCCAAATATTCTAATCCATTAACTTTTCTGTAATATTTCCCTCATTCAAAAATACCGCCAATATTACATTGCCTTTTTTACATCCGACTTGTCCCCTAACCTCTCTGAAAACCCGAATAATCATTTACTTACCCATCCCAGAACGTGCATTTTTCTCTCTGTTGATTACGTCCGTCGTCTTTAGTCGACCGTCTCCCTGACATCAAAAACATTGCCAAACTGTTTACATCCCAGTAGACCGTATGCACATCTTGATGCCAAATGGGGACGAAATACCATCTCCAATTTTATTCGTTCCAATATTTTTTTTAACAGAACAAAAACATAAATAAATATTTCTTGGTGAAAACGGTTCATATTGGAGCAGCTTATACAATAACCTATTTATTTCCATTGTTTCGAAGGTCGACACCCGTTAAAGAGTATCCTTTGTTTCCCTATGCCGTTTCAGTCAGTCAATTTAACAGTACAGTTGTCCGAAAAGTAATTAACCAGATAAATGGGAACAAACTTCACACCTAAACACATTATCCTTTTCGCATTTCTCAGTCGCAAAATAAAGCACATCCACCTGAAATCCAGAGTTTCCCCCCTATAAAAGGGACGCTTGTCAATCTTCCACCACAGTGGAAACCAAAGAGTAAAGGGTTTCGTTCTCGCACGCCTCGTACGCCCAGGCGAAGCGCGACGGCCTGGCCGTGGCGGGTGGGGGGGTGGAG